TTGACATTGCGCGGCTTCTGTTTGAGTACATCGTGATCAACGGGTTCGACGCCAAGCGATTGTGCGGGTGGTCCATCCATAATTATGTTGATCCAGAGTATCTGCATTGCATTCAAGGGATTTGCGATGCCCATGAGAGTAGCGAGCGCGATCAATGAGAGAGCGGCAATCGAGGTACTCAGCTGGAAACGTACGAAGTTGCGAATGTTGTAGAAGATCGCTTTGCCCTCCTCGATGGCAGCGCTGAGTTGGGAAAAGATAAAGGGAAAGAATTAATAACAAATCGGAGATATGGGGCTTCAGAGTGTAATGGGAAGAGTGGATAAAATCATGCAATGGAGAACTAGGAATGGAACACAATAATTTCAATTCCAGATAATTAGTTAAACTAATGACTCATTTTTTTAGATATGATGCATAAATAAATCCCGGGATATCTCTTTCTCTCTCTACAAGTTTCTTACGAGTACATCATACAACTCATAAAAGTCTACTCACATGATGGTGTGAAAATCATCGTTAACTAGTATCATATCAGCAGCCTCCTTGCAAACATCCGTGCCATTTTTACCCATAGCAATGCCGATATCAGCCTTCTTCAATGCCACGCCATCGTTGACACCATCGCCCGTCATGCCGACAATATTTCCAGTGCGTTGTAGTGATTTGACGATCGCAAGCTTATGACGCGGTGTGACACGGTAGAAAACACTCACATTATTGGCGACCTTATCCAGTTGGTGTTCATTCAGTTGGTCCATTTCTTGACCGGAGAGCGTTTGCTGATGAATTGTGTCGATTCCAATGAGATTCGCTGAAAAGAAAAGAAATATTCATCAGTTAAACATAGTGAAAAATTATTTTTGAGTTTTTTTCGCGCAAGTGAAGGAATTAAAGGAGGCTATAACGCTATAACTTTCCAACAACCCTAGGGTCCATTAGTTAGAATCGACGGGAATGACAATTTTTCTACAATTTTATCAAATTATACATCGTCACTGGACATGAATAAAGGCGCGCTAGAGCTTTGACGGCGAAACAAGACGCGTACAAATTTTTTTACGAAAAAAGCGCTTAATAAATACTTCGGCGAAGTAAGACCCGTAAACATAGATTTATACCTGGCCAACGACTGAGACTTCAGCATCATTCCTCAAAAACTCTTTGGAGAATTGTCATACTGTTACAACCGCACACATAGTTGACAGCGAAAATAAGTTTACGCGGCTTTCTTCGCCCGCAAAAATTTTTACGCGGCTTTCTCGCCGTGAACTATGTTAAGAGTCTTTCTTCGCTGAAGTTTTTATGCGTATTTTTTGCGATCAACATTTTAGCTCGCGCTTTTAGTCGTGTCTAGTGACGATATGCTCTAGATTGTTCTCCAGGAGGGCTCAAAAGCTGTAGTTTATCTCTCAAAGAGTCCATTCTACCTATACTTGCCGTGTCCTGTCAGATAAACAGAACCTTCGCACCCCATCCAGCACAGAATAAGAACACACTTAGGCCATATATTTAAAAAATTAGCATCTATAAGATTTTTTAGTGAACTTTTGGCAGCAAATTTGGTTTCCTTGGTCTACAACAAAAGTCCATAAAACAAAAAAACTTAATTTCTTGTTGGAGTTAGCCAGCAAAGTATTCATTTTTTCGAAAGTAAATTTTTCTACGATATTTTTTTGGCGGTTGAATATAATGATTATATAATGAAACAATTTTTCTCTTACAGGCCATTTTGTCAGCTTTCGAACCGATATTTTTCCATATTTTTATCTTACTCCTATTAAGAGATTTGCGGTTTTGTCCATCGACACTCTAAAATCGTACACTCTGTGCCCCGTGTACGTGATTGTTGGTGCACTCCATATTGCCTAATATCAGTATTCAATATCTATAAGTCTAATTGTGGATTGAGTTAGGTTGGCCTTGTTTACTACCTGAACGGGACGGTTCAAACCGTGAAATTTTTAGCTGCCTCAGTCGGGTGCGGTGCCCTGCTCCGCTTTCTGAAGCTCACGCTCACACAGCAACAGCCATTTCTCTTCTCTTTACCTTCTTACTTCCCTTCACCTTCATTTAAGCATTTTCCATTTATAAATATTTCACAAGTTTTCTTTCTCTGCATTAGCAAGTTTCTTTGAAAAGCGCCGCTCCAACTAAAACTATTTCATTGAGACATTAAAGGCGGCGGACTACATAGTCTTTTTCTTCTTTTTACATTACACTCCCACTCCCACTACGCTTCATGTTTTTAATTTCTGTTTGATTTCTTTTTGTTTACGCTTGAGAAATTTACTCCGACAACGGCATACCTTATCAGTTAATGTTGCTCGTTTCGTTTTTGCTGCTGCGCTTTGTATTATCGCCCGCAGCCAAAACGGGAGTGCAGTGCGTTTATTGTGGGCTTGATTTGCCCGCTCTTGAGCTTGCCACACCGCTAGGAATGTACAAATGCGCCGCATAGAGTTGTCTGCATTTGTGTGACTGCCTGCGGGTGGTTTGCCACTTGATTACTGCCACACACCATTGCATTGCAGCTCATTTTGTTGAAAGGGCGTTGTTTTTCATTTGGAATTTACAATTGCCATTTTTGTGCGTTTTTCCTGCTTTCTATGCTTTCTCTGCTTGCTTTGTGCACGACTTCCATTGCCATTTCCGGCGTTTTTCAATATTATCGACAACGTGTCCGCGCACTTTTTACTGTCTGCTGTGAAATCAAAGTCACTGTAATGGTGACTATTGGAATTTTAATTTTTACGTGTTGCAACGTTACTACGGTAGTGGTAGAAGACGTGGAGCAGCAAGTATGACGAGTGCTGTTTGCAACTACATACATACTTACAACGACTTTTCTCGCACTTTAAGTGAAGTGAAATAATTCAGGCTTTTGTCAAATCCTACACGTACAAAGTAGAGTATATTTCCTAAATAGAATTTTACAAAATGCAACGTGAAGTTTCCTACTCAGCTCTGCTTGCGATTTTTCTCTCCAGCACGCTGGCTTAAATTCCTATGCTTGTCAGGTATGATTTAAGCTTCTAGCTCACTAGATACGGTTGTCCGACCCAATACCTTGCCCTTCCTAGCTGCAACTTTCATACTTACACTCGTTCATCATGCTGGGTTGGGTGTCCTGCTGTTTTTCTCAAAACTGTTACAAAACGAAAATGCATGGGTTCACGCCGCACACAAGCAAGCACACTCGCATAGACATCAGCTCACATGAACACTCACACATAAGCGCATGCACTTGCTTGCAGCTGGCGCTATTATTGCATTGCATTCGAAGGGTCCTTCTGCCTGCTACTTGTCTATTGCTCCGGAAGTGTAATCGCATTTCCTGTTATTGTCTACCATGCTGTCGAGTTGCATTAATTGTCTCTCACTCTTTCTATGCAGTGCTGAGCTCGCTCGCCTGCTTGCTTGCTGGCGCAGCAGGTGGTGTTGGTAATACAATAATTTTAAATGTTCACACATTTTATTGTTGAAACATTCTCTCAAAGGCTAATAAAAGTATTTGTTTTGGAGCGTTTGTATAGGTGCAAGTTTGTTTTAAAGTTTTCGGGACAGTGGCTTAAATGATATTATTTGTGGATAAACAATATGAAGAGATGCTGAGTATACCACATTGAATTTTGTTACTCAATTCTATGATGCACCGACAAATGTATGGTAACTTATAACTCGGATTCAGCCAAGCTGCTACAGGCTACTGCTCAGAGAAAAATGTTTCTCTAAAATTTTTTTAACTTTTAACAAGTTTAACTTTTAAACTCGTCCAGATCTTTCTTCACTTCATACATTAAAATTTTTGGAAATAGTCAGTCCGACTGCTTATGGATTACAGGCTGATGTTGTTGTTCTTGTAACAGCATAAATTTCCCTAACCAGTTCTTGAGGAAAAACTGATTCCAGAGACAGTCCTTGTCCAGATATAGATCTGGGTTGTTCTGGTTAGGTAGACTACGGCTACACGCTGATCTTTCGTGAAGATATAGGACAGCTCAAAGAGCTTATTGTTCTGGGGTATTCACTAACCTTAACGCGCAAGAGTTTATGTGTTTGCTATAGAATTTTTCTATCGAATCACTTCAGAAGTCATATTGCCCCAACCTTATCTTTATTTATCATTAGTCTAACGAATTCAAAGTAATAAAAAGCAATTGCCAAGTACTCTCTCTCTCTCTCTCACTCTCTCTCAGATAAGTCTCGTGTCCACGGTTGCCACTTGTTAAAAAAAAATAACCAACCAATTTGAAAAAAAACAAATTTGTTGGTTTTGTTCCGAAAAATCTCATCATGTTATTTTAAAACAATAATTTTAAAATATATGTTCACACTGAGTGTTTAAGAACATGTATTTATACGTATTCGCCAGTAGCTGGGTGTGCAGAGATGCGTGCTACTATTTGTTAGCTTTCAGGCCGTTTCCAGATTCGAATGCCGTCAAAAGCAACACATTAAAATTGTATACATATGTGTATAAATGTATTTATTAAAATTGAAATAATTCCTGAATCTTAAAATTGTGAAAAAGCTTCTGTGAAGTTAGGAATGAAATCGTTTTCAACGAAAAATTGAATTAAGACAAATTTCAGGAAGGCGTATCCGTTTGACAACTATTTTCGAGAATTCATCCAAAAAATTACCGAAAAAGGAATCGGAAAACGAATGAAACATCAGGGTTTTATACAAATGGTTTGCATTTTCGAATACATTTCCGGATATTTTGCTGGCTGGGATGTTGCATTGAAAACAAGAATTTTAAAAATTAATTTATTCATTTCTGACACTCAGTTTGCAATAAATGCTAATTTCTAATTTAAAAAAAAAAACAAATCAAAGAAAAAACTACCAAATAACAAAATTCGAAAAATAAAATAAAAAAAACCAAGTTTGGTTAGAAACAACCAACTGTGGCAACCGTGCTCGTGCCAGAACAGCAAACGCCTGGTTAATACTAACTACAGGTTCGACATTGTTATCGGCTCACTGTTATATGTCGACATGCAGTTAGTGTTAGCAACCAACCCTAAATATCGCTATAAGTAAGCAGTGCCCTTCCTAATGGTATCACAAAAGACTGATACTTAAGGTCCTAGTCTAGCTTTAAGACTAATTCCAAACTTACAGGAATATTCTACTCAATTCAAAGTATAAACCTCAGCTTGGACATCCTCTCTGATTTAACGTTTTTCCCTCTCGCAGCCATACCGTTCGTAAAAACAAAAAATGCCGCAATAAGTCGAATCGGACAGAATAGGTCGATTTTATCTATACACCTTTATTTTAAGTACATCAGCAAAAGTAATTCGAACCAGAGCCTAGAAATCTTGAACTTTTCTTCCAAAAACTGACTTAAAATTTAATTCAAAGGGTAAAAACTCAACACATATACATACATATATGAATAATTAAGTAAAGAAAATCGATCTGACAAGATCTTCTCATGTACTCCCGATTGTTATACCCGAGTGCTTAGAGGCGCATACAACCCCTCGGTATGTCTCAAGAAGAGAGAAAATTCTGTAGAATTTAAAAACAATAAAGTTTTTTTGGTTTACAATATTCTTAAGTTAATAAAGTTTGCAGGACGAAATTCGATGATGAGGTCGTGCGTATATTAGTCCCCAAAACAATAATTAAAAAAAATAATAATAATATTGCAAATTTGCAAGGACATTTAAGCACAAAACTTGTAAAAGACATTTTCCATATCTTATATACGTCCTTATGCACCAAAAAATTTATCCTGTTATAATTCTACAGAATTTTTTTTTATGATACCCTTGTTGTTATCATACATTGCACCGAATT